TATTCACTACCCTAATAATTACTAGCATACCTGAGGTTCCAAAGAAAGGTCTGCCATTGGTTCTTCAATACCATTTGTTGCTTGGCTTGAGTGATAACTTATATCATTCCTAACTGGGGGTGAGTAAGCAAATGAGCTAGGTGGTTGCAACACTGGTTGAWTCTGRTTCTGATGTTGTTGAGGTTGTCTAGCTGACCGTAGCAAGAGTTGTTGTTCATGAGTTTGACGCATGCGTTCTCTTTCATTTGAAGTCAGTGGGTTGTTTTTCCTTCCTGGAATTGGTCCTGATTCTAAAGAAAACAATTGAATGATGTTAGAATTGGGAAKTGAGCTTACTAGCTATTGATGGCCTAAGTGATGATTGTATTGCTCTGGCCTTTGTAGGCCTTCTCTTAGCAGGATTAGATTGAAAAACACAGCACAGCAGTTTTCTAAGCAGGATTAAATCATGTGCAACATAAACAGAAAGTAAATAAATATGCAAACAAGCAAGTCTTACCAAACTGAATGTCAAGGGCTAGCATGGCAACCATAGCAGCATTTTGCTTAGCTTCTTTTTTCGTTTTACAGTACTTGTTTGTTTTGTAAATGTCTGTCTTGATAATAACTTGAAAGCCAAAGCCTCCAGAAATACCACATGCTTCCTGGTATCTGGGACAATTGATCTTATTTTGCTGACAATATATATTCAGTGCACTAATAAAATCCACAAATCCGCCTCCATCAACTACTATATGGTATTTTTTAATCATCTCATCTATCCTTTCCTGCTCTGACATTTCTGGTTGTTGATCTTCTCCACCCCTAAACAAATATAGACAGAAAATATTAACCATAATGGCAAACTATATTACACAAGTTTCTTTTGGGGAAATCTATAATAATCAATTGTCAATTCTTTAATACGGTAACAAAAGAAAGAAACATGATTGAATAGCATACAAATTCAAACATCAGACAGAAATATTTTAAGTTTATAAAARTCATCATGCACAGTTTTATTATGTTTTTGAATAAATGTCTGAGTGATTGAAGTAGGTGTCTGTGCCACAAACAATTTACAATCAAAATTATTACGTAAGTCACACAATAACTGTCAGTAAGACGTAAAATAAGCASYGCTATACTGCCGGTAGCTGCCTATTAGTGAAACTTCTGTATGCATACCCTTCCTCTGCTCTTTTCTGCTGTCTTTTCAAGGATCGTTTGTAATTTTTCCTTTGAGCTGCAGTCATCCTTGAAAAAAAAGACATTGCTAAAACAACATGGATTGATTATGAACTCGTCATTGGTACTTACGCTGACATATCAACTGGAGCTGCCCTTGATGAAGCATGAATTTCACTCTGAATTTGTTGCATTGCTTGAACAACAGCATAGCTATCAACTTTTTGTTCATCGTGAAATTGGTGAGCATTTGCTGGTATGAAAGCTTCACTGCTTGCCTCTGGAACGAAAATGACTTTAATAATGTTGTGTTGTTGATAGTGAGATAATATCTTGCTCACCGCATTCCCAATCTTCSTCGCCTTCAACTAAACCTTGTGTTGGCTCTGGAGTGGGTGGTCGATTGGATGATCTTGGTACAAAAGCTGGAGCTAAATGCACACAAAGATTGCTTATTTTATATTTTAACACATTATCGTACATAAGATTTTGTTTATTAAGAAAATTTTTAGGAATCATTGTCTCTTCAACAAGTATATGAGATTTGAAAGTGAGGTATTATAATCAATAACAAGGAACTCAAATGGCAAACAGAAGKAACCATGCTTAATGGTTCACAAACCAATTCAAGGAGCCATCCTAGCCCTGACTTGGTAAGACTTGACGATTAAGTAAGAGCTGATCAATTATCTTTGATAGTAATCAAATCATCTCATTATCAAGCAATAATAATAAGAAGCTTACTTGGATTTACGTCCTGTCGAAGGACTTCCTAAAAATAAAAAAAACTTGCAGTTGGAGCGTAATATAAYTTAAACTACAAAAACTAAAGGCATGCATCTTCTAGGAATAGTTAATGATAAATAATACATAATATACATATTGACTGAG